TTTGTGTGTTGTTGTTTTTGTGTTTATGTTGTCTTTGTGTGTTGTTGTAAACCTGCAGACTGATGTGTTCCAGATGTCTCATTCTGTCCCTCAGGGTGTCCAGTCTGAGGTTTGCATCACGCAGAGAGGACAGCAGCTGCTCACAGGCGGTCCTCACATCCGTCTCACACATCTAGATGATACAGTCAAACAATTAATCAATCAATCAATCAGTCAATCAATCAGTTAATCAATTGGTCTGACAGTCAATCATGAATCAGTCAATAAGTTAATCAATCAATCATTTATAGTTTGTTTTATATCTTGATTGAGCTTTAAGAGGTCCTAGGACAACTAGAGTTTTAAATAAAATGAAATAAAAATAAATAAATAATAATATAATAAATGAATTAATAAATAATCCTTCATCAGTTGTGAAGTGAAGCAGGTTACCTGGGCCAGGTGAGTCAGGTGTGTCTGCAGCTGCTCCAGAGTCTTGTTGTGTTTCTGACTCTTTCTCTTCTTCATCTGATCAATGATGTCAGAGCGAGAATGTTTGTTTACTGCGGAGCAGAGGGGAAGAAAACAACATGTCACGCTCTGTTTATAAATAAAGTTGTATTGTAATAAATAAACTTACAGACAGTAAAGATCAGTTAATTTATTAAATGCAACATCTGGATAGAATACTCCTCATTTAAAGCTACGGTCGTTGCAGACGACCCCACATACAGTTTGTTAAAAAAAGTTATATCAAATAAAAAATTATGAACGTAAAGTCAGAGTTCTTTGAAGTTCAGGTTCTGATCATTGTAACAACTGATGGTTAAACACTGGGTTTAGATTTTATTTTAAAATGGTCTGCTGCCATGCTGGCAGGAGCTAAGGCCGCCCATGTAGCACCTAGTAAGATGGCGGGAACAAATGCCGGTTTCGTTAGCTTGAAGCGCCCTGTGGTGATGGACAAGACATCCCAGTTTACTTCAGTGGTTCAAACCAGCAGCTGGATACTAACCCACAGAGACTGGAAGACACGTGACATCCGCGATGACGTCATCACCACCACGAGACACTAGCTGCCTCCTACAACAGAACCTGTGAGAAACATGGACTATGGACATGATGGAGACAAACAGGAAGACCGTGTGCGTGCGTGCGTGTGTGTCCACCTGCTGCTGGTGTTGCTGGGTCCGTCACTGTCCTCTGAGGACACACTGACTGTCCCCCTGTCCCTGCATCCAGCCAGCAGAGACAGCTGAGCCTGAAACCCGTCAGTCAGGAAGACAGAAAAAAACAAGAGTTTTATTTTTGCTCCTTAATTCGATCAATTATTCTCTGCTGTAAAGTTAGTGGACAGAGTTCTTAAAACTAATTAAATTATAAATTAAATGTAATTATTCATGCCTCTGACTCAGGTAGCACACGACTCTCAGCTACTACCACAACATTTAGTTCATCTGTAAATCCGATCCAAGTTGCGACTTTAGGTCAGCTGTGGCGGCCATCTTGAATTAGACTGTTCTGGTCACTACTTTGAATGTTGAGCATGCGTCCAGTGGTTTATGAGATATTTTGCTGACACACGAACGGCACGTCCGCCTTGAATAACTGGACCAGAGCAGGACAGTTCTGACCAAAACAACTCGGTGTATTTAGTTTAACTTCTGTTTGGTCTTCATCTCCGTCCTCCGGAAGTCAGGTTCGGTTCTGACCCGTTAACCCACCTGAGCCTCGAACACCTGCCGGTGCGCCTTCCCGTCCGGAACCTCTCTGCTCTGGCTCATGCTGCTGACGGTGAGTCCGGGTCAGGACTCGGCTAGTTCGGCGGTTTTTGTTTAGGGTTCTTCTGAGCAGTAGCCGCGGTCACCATGGCAACATCCGAGTAGTTACCGGTCACTATGGCAACGGACGTAAGAGAAAAACGTCGTGTTGCGTTCAGGGTCTGATGAGAGCGTCGGAGTTCTCTTCTCCGTTCGCAAAATATCAGAGGAGCCACTGAGTTTTATTCAAACTTTCAGTAAGTTTTCTTTGAGGAATCTACAGCTAGAGTTTTGCTACTTTAAGCTTTACTAACTCACTTTCTGCTTTTTTTATTTTGAGCTGAAATAAATTAAAATAAAAGCCGAGTTGAAACAGCTGAAGTGAAAATATGTTGACTCTTCCTCGGTCACAGAATCTCTTGACCCATAAAGTCATAATTTAAATTAAAAAACATTCTTTTTCCGCCGAGTCGACTGAAAACAAACGGCTTCGTGTTTTGGGTGATTTAATGAGATCAACGTTAACAAGGAACAAAAACTTCTGATACAGAAAATACAAAGTTTATGAAACAAAAAGGATTTACAGAACCTAAATGTTTTTATCGTGAGCGAGGAGGAACAGCTCGCATCATTTTATAAACGACAGAAGGAAAAACAAGTCGGAGTCCCGCCCTGATTGATTTTATTATTAGTCTCCGTTTGGATTAAAAAACTGAAAATTAAAATATTCAAATGTGATGGAGCCGAATAAATACGAGCTGGAAAAAACGTTTAAACAGAAAACAGCAACATGAGTTTATGACATTTAGACGAGAAAAATTAAGCATAAAAATAAAGATCGTTCCTTTTTGAACATTTCGGCTCAAAACAAACAAAAAATTACTGAAGCGTTGAAAGATTTTAAAGCTGGGACATAATTAGTTTTTCTTTAGAGTTTAACTTTATTTGCAGGTTTTTTTTTTAAAGTAAACTAGTCTAAATAAAAGCTCATTGTTAAAATTAAAGCTAAATTTATAAAAGTTAAAACAAATATACAGAAAAACTTGATTTGTATTAATGCTAAAATCAACTAAATGAAAAGATAAATCATCACATCATTAACATTAAAACTCGTTTTGCTTTAAAAATATATTTTAAATAGCAGGCAGTGGGCGGAGCCTGAGAGGTCCAATCAGATCGTCGCTTCAATTTTAATTAAACATAAGTCATACAGTGTTACCAATTTAATTTAGATTCAAAATTTAATTTTTTTTAATGTAAAGATTCTGTAACTTAAATTTAAAATAACTCGTTACGCTTTAGGTTTAAGGGAACAATAATTAACTTAGTCTCGTTTCTCCGCTGATTTTCAAACAGAACCAAACAGGAAGTGTATTTATGAACAAGTCTGTAGATTTGAGATCAGAATAAATCAGAACTGAAGCTCAATTAAAAGATTCAACATGAAAATAAAGCGTCTTCAGCTCCTGAAACATCATTCCAAACAATTTCACTCTGTTTTTATATTTGACACATTTTTTGTTTCCATCTTCTGCTTTGGTTTGATCTTCGTGAACAGAACCTCCGTCAGCGAAGAACGGGTTTAATTCCCATCGAAGAGTTTCATCTTCAGTACCTGGTTTCTCTTATAAACTCGTGGAAACGCCTTCAGTCCTCTCGGGCTCCAGACGCACGGGTGATGACGACAAAACGACTCCACAAACATGAGGAAGGTCCGATTTGGTTTCGTCCACCGTGCGGTCCTGAAACGAAGAGTCGGACAGGAGGGAACGGGTCGGTCCAGTTCTGATACAAAGAGCCCTCGTTTTATAAAACCTGCTTCAAGAGTTCCCCCAGTGTTCCACTTGAAACATCCCTGGTTCTGGTTCTGAAACGTTCATCCTCACACCGGACATCATCATCATCACACACTAACTCTGGGCTCAGCCGGGCCACGGTTCTGCCGAGTCAAAAGGTTCCGACGTCAGAGACGAGGTTTAACAGTTCAGTTCCTGGAGGTTCTGGTCACACCAGAACTCCTGCCGAGGCAAACCGGAACCAGAACCTGCGATCTAATACAGGACCAGCAGGGACAGCTTCAGAACCAAAACAACTGGACTCAGAGAAACTGGTTCTTTAAGAGTTTCACTCTGCTGAGACCTGGAACATCTGGAACATCTGCAGATTCAGTCAGATCACCACAGGAAATACTTTTACTTTGAAAGAGGGACGCACCGTTACTTTGGTTCCAAACTGAGTACAAGTACTTAGATCTGAGTAGCAGCTGACACCGAGTACTGATACTAATAAATGTACTAATAAAAGTTTAGTTACTTACAGAAACTTTAAAGTTTTAAATCTATGGGGAGGACTGGGCTCAGATGAGGATTTTCCCATGATCCTCTGTTTCTGAGATGAAATCGTTTGATCCGTCCCTCTGAAGCCCCTCCCCCTCACTTCTTCGGTTTTACTCGTGGTTCTGATGAGTTACTCCACCAGCTGTTGGACCGGGACAGACAGAACCCAACCACCTGACTGAGGGGTGGAGCTACTGCAAGGTGGCATCAGTACACACTTATAAAAGTACAAGTACACAGTAGTACTGCTGCGTCCCTACTTTAATGTTTATTCGAAGCGTTAAGATGTTTTATTAACTTGTTAAATTTCACTCTTTAAATCTTGTGCTCGTATTTTTGTTTCAACAGTTTTTTAAATGTTTTTATGAAATAATTTATAAATTTGAAAGATAAAAGCTCTGAGAGGCTGCACCAACAGTCTGATCAGTCCAAAAACTGGTCCCTTGTGATCCGGACCTCGTCTCTTCAGCACCAGATCAACAGAACCGTTTGTCTGCGGGGCGGTTCTGGTTGCTGACAGAACCGGGCTGAGCAGTTTCATCCTGACAGGAAGTTAAAGCTTCAGTTTTGGACTTTCACAGTAAAACGTTTCATTGGTCTCGGTTCTGATCCACAGTGATCTGCAGCTCAGGGGCGGGGTCACGTGATGCGACAGGTGATGGGCGGGGTGATGTGGGCGGGGTCACCGCCTCTGCTGGCTGTAGACGGGGAAGGCCAGCGTGACGTTGAGCGAGTCGTTGTGCTGGACCAGCGAGGTGTGCTGGTAGTGCAGAACCAGCTCCTTCAGAGACCCGTACAGGTTGTAGGGCTCGGCGAAGCCGAAGCCGGTGCTCGTCTTGTTGATGACGCAGTGCTTCACCTCGCCGTCCACCCTGAGGGGGGGACAGAGACACGGGTGAGACGGACAGGAAGTACAGACAGAGATGGTTCATCTCTGTCTGAGGTTCAGGACTGAAAACATTTTAAACTTGAGGTTAAATAAAAGCTGCCGTGTTGAGGTCATCTACAGATTAAAGAGCTGAAGGAACCGGGGCCTCCTGCTGTGAACAAACAGCTGCGTGAGCATGAACAGGTAAAGGGGCGGGGCCTTACATCACGGAGCAGGCGTAGCAGCCCGGTTTGCTGCTGTCCCGGACCAGGAAGGTCCCGTCCCTCTTCCCTCGCAGCAGAGCTTCGGCCTGACCGCGGTTGATGTTCCCGAGGCGCCACAAACGCTCGTCGTGATGAGGAAGGTCCTCCTCATCCTCCACCATGCTGTACTCACTGAGGAACACACAGGCGGGTTAGAACCCGACAGAACCGGGACACAGGTCATTCTGCAGAGACTTACTCCTCGGTGGTTTCGTTCTTCAGTCCGAGCCACTCGTTCAGTTTCCTCTGCCGGACTCCTTTCTGGGTCAGCCACCTGAAAAACAGCGCTCGTTAGAGTTCTGACGTGCAGCTTCACCGGACCCCAGACCGGCCTCCACCTACATGAGGTACTGGTCCCTGGTCTTGCGGAGCTGGATCAGGTCCGGTTTGATGCTGTTCATCTTCTTGTCGATCTCCCGGTTGTCGGCGGCCTGCTTCTTCAGGTCCACCTCCAGGTGCCGCTTGCTGTCCACGATCTCACTGATCCGAGACTTCAGCTTCTCGTAGTTCTCCATGATCCTTGAGCAGAAACATCAAAATGTGAAACGGTCTCAGAACCACAACCGGGTTTCCTCTGATCCCAACCTGAACGTCTTTTAGGCTTCAGGAGGCTGAAATGTAGGATCTGCTCAGAGTTTAAAAGCAGTAAACAAGAACGATGATTTTAACATCATTTATTGTTTCTCTCTATCAAATAAATAAAAAATAAAGATTATTTCCTCACGTTCTGAATCATGAACATTTTAAACTCCTTGCAGCTGAACTCTGGATCATTCAGTTAATAAATAAAATTAAAAACAAGATTTTTGATTTTTCTGATCCAAATAAAAGAAAATCTTGGTTAAAAAAGATGTTTTATTATTTGATATAAAATTTTATAAAATCCCAACCAAAACAAAGCGATGTGATTGGACGACGAACCCCTCAAGCTAAATGTACCAGTAGGTGGTTTCTGCCTGCTCTGCTGCCGTGGCAACCGGGCATCCTTCCTGTCTATCTGTGCGTTTTCTTTTTTTTTTGAACGCTTTAAAGGTCTCGGACACGGTTGCCGTGGTAACAGCTTACCTCTGGATCTCCTTGTCGTTGCCGTCACGGCGGAACTTCTCGATGTACTCTTTGCTGAAGCGCTCCTGAGTCTGACACTGCTCCTCGAAGATCTTTATGGTCTCGTTGAAGGCCTCGATGGCCGTCCTCTTCATCTGGATCTCCTGCGGGATGAAGAGGAAGACGTTCCAGCCACGGTTCCGTCTCAGACGGGTTCTGTCTGCGATGCCGGTGGACGTACCTGGGAGGTCCTGGTGTACTCCTCGTACAGACGGTCGTACTCGCGGTTCTTCTCCTGGTACTGCAGGTGGTACTCGTGCAGCTTCTTGCCCACGGCTTCGATGCTGTCCTCCTTCACCACCTGATCCTGCAGGACAAACGGGCCGGACAGATCAGTGACCGCAGCTCACAGAACCTTCAGCCGATCGCTGGACTGCAGGGACAGACCTGCTGGTGTTTGGAGACCGGGTAGAGCAGCTTCACGTCCAGTTTGGGGTTGTACTGGGCCAGAGACTCGTGGCGGTAATGATTTATCAGCTCCACCACCGAGCTGAAGGTCAGCGGGTCGGAGAAGCCGTACTTCCCCTCCCGGTGGAAGATCTTTATCAGTTTGTTGTTGCCTCCTTTCCTGCAGCGATCAAAGAATCAACAGATCGTTTTTACTGGGGTTTAATATCAGAAAGAAGTTTATGAACTGAACTCTCTCAGATTTAAACATCAGCTGAGGTTTGTTTTTATCAGGTCGCACTCATTTTTATCAAACATTTAATACGTTAACGTTTTTAAATCATTAACCAACGTTTAAAACTCCTTCAGAAAACCAAATGTTAAAAAGTTTAATGCAAACCAAACGTTCACGAGTTAAAGTATTTTCAGGTTTTGTTCTTGTGCTGCGGCGTTGGGTCTGAGAGTCTGAGATTTGATCTAAAGGGTTCTGTTCCTCAGAACCAGCTGAACCCAGATGGGGTCTCACCAGTTTACCTCAGAGTCAGGGTGTAGTCTCCGTGCATCTTGGTGGAGGCGTCTCGGACCAGGAACGTACCGTCAGCAGTGTCCCTCAGCTTCTCGTTCACCTCCTCCCTGCAACACAAGCACATGGCTACGTGTTCTGACCCAGCCTGACCCGTCTGACGTGGTGCTGGTGGTCCAGTTCATGGTGTGTGTGTGCAGTAGTTACCTGGAGATGTCCCCCCAGTACCACTCAGCGTCCTGCAGAGACATGCTGTTGTTGAACATGCTGGAAGCTGCAGGAGTGGACGACTTCACGGGTTTGGGAGGTAAAGCTGAAACAAAGAGAGTGGAGGAGGTGGGTACACCTGAGCAGGTAAACCTCTACACCACCTGAGCAGGTAAACCTCTACACCACCTGAGCAGGTAAACCTCTACACCACCTGAGCAGGTAAACCTCTACACCTCCTGAGCAGGTAAACCTCTACACCACCTGATCAGGTAAACCTCTACACC